ACACACAGGAGGGGCTGCAGTGGCTCTGACGACCACCAGAGGGCACTAGGGAGCCACTTCAGAAAACACCTCATACCCACCAGGGGGCAAAGAGGGTCACCATGTGCTAGAAGCCCACACTGGCCAATATTCTATTACAACGCAGAGACACTCAGTCCCCAATACCCCCACCTACTCCCATTCATCATTCCCAGTTCCAGAGTCTTTCCTAGGACCTTCCCCGTGGCCCCCAGAGCAGCTCCACTCTCAGTGACACCCTCACACTCCCAACCCCCTCCCTGTGATCTGTCCTCCAGGTCCCCCACACTCACCCCACCAGGCCCCCAGGACTCCAACGCCTGTCAGGGTGAGTATTAATCGGTACTTTCCTGTTTGTTATTATTTTTATAGCTTTCTCTTTGATACTTATATTAGATGTAGAACAGCTTTTCCTCATTTTTCCTCCCTCCTTCTAGAAAACTCCTGTGACCTATTTTAAAGGTCCAGGACTGAGAGTAATTCAAGACGCCTTTAGTCATGAGTAAAAACCCATAATATAACCCTAGAGTGGAAGGTTATTGAGAGTGAATCTCCATCATCACACCCTACACACACTTAAACAAACAGGATTCACTGGAGAGAGCATGAGGGAGGGGTGAGACGAGGAGGGAGGAATACCACGGGCCAAGGGAAACACTGGGGTGAGGGGTTCATTCACTCTTTTGAGTGTGATTATCACTGCACAGGTTTGCCTTTATACTTCAGTGCTATGAAACATAAATGTCCTATAAGTCAGTACTCTGTGTAGGGCACAGACTCAAATGCTTACAGGGAAAGGAGAGATGGGGCCAAAATTGATGTGAAGAGTCACAGTCCATGGACCTCCGTGTGCCCCAGTTCCAACATACTCCAGGTGAACAAATATTTAGAATAAAGATAATTTGTTCTCAAATTCTTGACAGTTATCTAGTCTATATTTTGTTTATATTTTTGGTTTTGTTATTCTCCTTATTTGGTTTTGGTTTTAGGGCTAGACCCAGTGATTCTCAGGGTTCTTCCTGGATCTGTCCCCAGGAAATACTCTGGAAGGTGCTTGGGGGGCCACATGGAACAAAGGGGATCAAACCTGGGCCAGCTGTGTGCAAGACCCTACCACCATACTATGTCTAAGTCCCTGTTGGTTTAATTTTTTTGCTTGTGCCACTTTGGGTATGCTCCTTGCTCTCTACTCAGGGAACGCACCTGGTAGGTGCATGTGAAGCCATATGACGTGCAGGGAATAAACCTGATTAACCACATGGAAGGGAGGAACCTTCACCCTCTACTGCCTCCACATCTCTAATTACTGAGGACCGATCCTGGCAAATGGGGATCAATCCTGAAATGCTATGAGTACCAATAGACAGACAGACTGAAGAGGAAAAGGGTGTTGCTCAGGGGACTAAGTCCTTAGTGGACTGAGAGCTACAAATGTCCAACACATTGAGAATCCTTGCTTAGAACCAGGAATCATCAGGAGATGACATTCTTAGGTCAATTTTCAAGCTTTGCCTATCTGGGCTTAGCTCTTACACATCTGAGTGTCTAAAGTAGCACTACAGTGTAGCACTGTCCTCCCATTGTTCATTGATTTGCTCGAGTGGGCCCAGTAATGTCTCCATCATGAGACTTGTTGTTACTGTGTTTGGCATATTGCAGGGGTCCCACCAGACCACTCTCCAGTCCGAGGAGGTGGCCCTAGGATCCGTAGGTGCAAGGAGGGACCAACCGAGTGAAGACACAAGACACAAGAGACAGAGTACAGTTTAGAAACAGAGATAAAGGGACAGGACCGGACAGCAGACAGGACAGGACTTTATTCAGGGCAGCAGGGGTATTATATACATTGCGACGCAGGAAACTATGCTTACATAACAGAAGGCAATTACATCACTAGGTCATATCATATATTGTTAGGAGAGTTACAAAAACTACGTTTCATGTGCTTGATTAGTCAGTGTCAGTTACTTCTTATTTTTGGGCTAGCTGTGACAAATGTTTTCTTTTAGATAACCATACATAGCTCATAGGCTGCGGTCAGAGCAGACACAGTACCAGATTTGCGCTAGTCAGGACCCGCTTGTTCAGGGTCACGTAGGCCAAGATAACCATACATAGCACAGGCACATAGGCCCTTGATCAGTTAAAGGCCAGCTTCCCACAGCATATTGAATACATCACAGGTAGCTTGCCAGGCTTTGCCATGCGGGTGAGACACTCTCTGTAGCTTGCTGGGCTCTCCGAGAGGGGCGGAGGAATCGAACCCGGCTTGGCCGGGCCGGCTGCGCGCAAGGCAAACACCCTACCACTGTGCTATCACTCCGAGCCCCTAAAGTAATTGGGACAAATACCTTTAATCCCAGAAGTGTTTCCTCTGAGATAAAGTACAAAATAGCCAATAGCCAACAGATGGGCTTGCTTCAGTGGAATTCAAGACATGAGGGCCCTGTTATCCGCCCATTCTGCCTTACTCCTGATTCTGTCTTAACACTTGGTTCCCAAAACATTGACAACTGTGAGTGACTCAGTGGATTCCTTTTGTCTAGATAGTGGCACCAACTCTTAAAATGTATTTTGAGTAGTAGTAGCACTGTCCTCCCGTTGTTCATCGAGTTTGCTTGAGCTGGCACCAGTATCTTCTCCATTGTGAGACTTGTAATTGTTTTTGGCAAAGTGAATACGCCACGAGTAGCATACCAGGATCTGCCATTCAGGCAGGATACTTTCGATAGCTTACTAAGCTCTCTGAGAGGGACAGAGGAATCAAACCCGGGTGGGTTGCATGCAAGTCAAATGCCCTACCCGCTGTGATATTGCTCCAGCCCCAGTAAAATGTCACGCACCAGGGAGTCGAGTATTTTGACATTGTAAAAATCATTTAAACTTTTATGTGTCCTATTATCTCAATAAATAGAAGTAATATTGTACACATCATAGGATTTATATTAAAATAAACATTAAAGTATATCAATTAAATCGGTTGTTATGCAACAATTGCATACTGGAGTAGCAGAGTTTCTGAATCTGGTCACAGGCACCCCCAGAACCCCTCACCTGCTCTGGAGTCCTCCCTTTTCTCCACCAGTTCAAAGAGATCTTTTTATAGAGAAGGAGGATATGCAAATAAGACTCTCCACAGTGATGAAAACAGCCCAGCCCAGCCTCAGCTCCAGGAGAGGCGTCAGTTCAGGGGTTCCAGGGGCTCCATCCTGACTCACACACAACCAACATGGCATGTGGGCTCAGCTGGCTTCTCCTGGTGGCTGTGATAGGAGGTAACTCATGGGTGACAGAGACATGGAGCATGGGAGAGATGGGAGAGGCAGATCCTTTGTGTGAGGAGAGTTTCCTGACCAGGATGTCTTTGTGTTTGCAGGGGTCCAGTGTGAGGTGCAGCTGGTGGAGTCTGGGGGAGACTTGGTGAAGCCTGGGGGGTCTCTGACACTCTCCTGTGCAGCCTCTGGATTCAATTTTGGCAGCTATTATATGAACTGGGTCCGCCAGGCTCCAGGGAAGGGCCTAGAGTGGGTCTCACGCATCAATACTGGTGGTGGTACATACTATGCGGACTCTGTGAAGGGCCGATTCACCATCTCCAGAGACAACAGCAAGAACACGCTCTCTCTGCAAATGAACCAACTGAGGGAGGAGGACACGGCCTTGTACTACTGTGCGAGCGACACAGTGAGGGGAAGGCCCTGTGGGCCCTGACATAAACCACCTGCAGGAGGAAGCAGGATGAGTTTCAGGGGTGCAAGCCCCCAGGAGGCTATCAGGACTCACCCCTGAGGAAACGTTGCTCATGACCAGATGAATCATCTTTCTGTGGAGATCAGGCTTGACCTGCCCCTCAGTTCTCAGATGACGCCATGAGTACCTTGTCCTGCGGTTTGTGGCTCTGAGTCCTCCATCCCCACTGTGGATGAGAAGCAGTTTGTCTCACTCTCTGTCTCATGTAGTTTTACTAATGTTACCATGACTTCCCTGGGGCCTGAGGGGCACATTATTCTCTTGTAGAAATTAAAATCATCCTTTAGAGATTATCTTGGTCTCCTGGTGGGAGTCTTCATCAGAAAGAGAAATCCTGGCATTCACTCAGCTGTGTGGTGTCTCCTTCCTTCTGCCCTTAGACACACACTCTGTGCCCACTGATCTCTACCCTCAAACCTGCAGCCAGGTAGCCTCCACCTGGTCACCCTACACCTGGGAGTCCTGCTCTCTGGGATGGGCTGACCTCTAGTCCTTCATCCACTCACTAAATGGACATTCAGGTTTTCCCATTTCCTCTCCACCCCTCTAACTTATAGAGGAGAAAGCAGGTCTTGTGCATTGGCAGTACAAGAGGCAGGACCCTGAGCACTGATGCCCTCCCTGAGCCCTCACTCTTCTGGTACCTCAAGATACACCGCATCCCAGTGCTCAGGGATGCTCCTTGCACTGAAGCCCTATACTGATACCATTGCAGATGTAACTCTTAATGAATTTCTCATTGTGTATCAACCTCAATATCCTGTCTGCCCTCTAGAGGCAGCGAAACCTGGGAGTTAGAATCTATATTCCTCCTTCCCCTCACATGGTGACCCCGCTGAAGCAGCTCTCCTGTTCTGAGGACCTTCCACAATCTCCTCTTTAAAACCACAAGTACACCATTAATTCTTCACTTAGGGAACTCAACGAGTTTTAAAGGTTCAATATCAATAGCACTGTAGCACTGTCCTCCCATTGTATATCGAGTTGCTCGAACGGGCACCAGTAACATCTCCATTGTGAGACTTGTTGTTACTGTTTTTGGCATATCAAATATGCCACGGGGAGCTTGCCAGGCTCTGCCGTGGGGGCGGAATACTCTCGGTAGCTTGCCGGGCTCCCCAAGAGGGACTGAGGAATAGACACCGAGTTGGCCATGTGGAATGCAAACGCCCTACCTACTGTACTATTGCTCCAGCCCAAAGCAAGAAGGAAGAGGGAATAAAAATGAATAATAATAATAATAATGACAATGATAATAATAGTCAACAGGGTGATACTGAGTGGTGCCTGTATCACCTGATACTTGGCTCCACCAGTGTGCAAAATGATCAAAAATGATCGTCTGTACTTTCAATGCATGTACGCTAGCATCAGATACATCCATCGAGGACCTGATGGTACAAGCGCGAATGATCAAGTACGACATCATTGGTCTGACCGAGACAAGAAGGCACGAATCTCACCATGCCGTTTTCGACACTGGAGAAGAATTGTTCCTCGGAACATGCGATAAAAGAGGTGTTGGAGGCGTCGGTGTCCTTGTCAACACAAACTTGGCCAAGAGCATTGATTCATTCGAATGCCTAACAACCCAAATCGGACGTTTACATTTGAATAGATGTGGCTCACTGCCTGCAGTTTCTATCTTTTGAGAATGACTTGCAACCAGGACATGCCACACCGTCTGTCTTACCTTTCGAGACTCACCCTGAAGGAGAGGGGACAAATGCACAATAGTCTTTTGCTCTCTAGTGGTAATTTAAAAGAGCATCTGAATTTTCACACCTTTATTTTGAGTTTGGCACTTCAGTTCTATGAGAATATTCTTGTTTCTTAGATGTTTCCTAACATTATTATGTTATTTTTTCATAATGCTATCAACTTGTCTTCTTATAAATCTACAGAGTGAGACTGAGTATCCTTATAACAGTAAAGCAGTGAGCAAATACCACATGCACATCCATGCGTGGAGAAACAAGCTCAATATGCTGATACAGTCGATCACTCCTGCTCTGTGGCAATGGGTGCACAGTGCCAGTGCTGTAAACAAGATCGCTGTGCAGACTTTATGGCAATTCTAAAAAAAAATTTGTGAATTGTAACATAAGTGATAGAATTTTTTTAAATGTCAATTTATGGTATTAGTGTACAGTTACTGCACACTATGGTTTTCAAGTTCCCATAACCCACAAGCCGAACCTGCGACCTGGACTCTTTTCCCTCCCTCTATCCCCTTATTCGACCCTGATTAGCAGCTGCAGTTTCAGTGCACACTATCACCTCCCTTAGCACCACCCCTGTGCTCCAGACCATCTGTCATCATTCCTGGGTCACTTTAACATCTTTTCTCCTCTCACCCCAAACCTCCACTCTCAGTACTGTATCTCCTTATGAAGCCATTGGGCTACACTAGCACGCGACAGGGACAAATGGTGACGTTACTGGCGCCCGCTCGAGCAAATCGACGACTAACAGGAAGTTAAGTGATTAAGTGATTAAAACCCCAAAAACCAATCAGAAAGGTCAATGAAACCAAGAGCTGGTTCTTTCAGAAAGAAGATTGATAAACCACTAGCAAGACTCACAAGAAAGAGAGAGAGAGAGAACCCTAATAAACCAAATCTGAAATGAAAAGGGGGACATCACAACAGAAACCAATGAAATTCAAAAGATTATCAGAGACTACTTTGAGAGTCTGTATGCCACTAAACCAGACAACATAGAAGAAATGGATGAATTCCTGGATTCCTACAATCTTCCAAGATTGAACCAGGAAGACCTGGGAAACCTGAATAGATTCGTTCATATCAAGGAAATTAAAGCGATAATCAAAAGTCTTCCCCAAAAACAAAAGCCCAGGCCCAGATGATTTCACTAGTGAATTCTTCCAACATTTAAAGAAGATCTTTTGCACTTCTCCTCAAGGTTTTCCAGGAAATTGAAAAAGCAGGAACTCTTCCAAACAGCTTCTATGAGGCACATATCTCCCTAATACCAAAAGCAAGCAAAGACACCATCAACAACAACAAAAAAAACCTGTAGGCCAATATCCCTGATGAAAACAGATGGGAAGATCCTCAACAAAATATTAATAAATAGAATACAACAACTCATCAAAAAATATCATACACCACGACCAAGTGGGATTCATCCTGGGGATGCAAGGATGGTTTAACATTCGGAAATGAATCAACATAATCCATCATATCAACAAAAGTAAAGATGAAAGCCATATGATCATAGACGCAGATAAAGCTTTTGACAAGATCCAGCACCCGTTTATGATAAAAACTCTCACCAAAATGGGTTTTGAAGAAACTTTCCTCAAGATAGTCAAAGCCACCTACGACAAACCCATGGCAAGCATTATCCTCAATGGGGAAAAACTAAGGACCTTTCCTCTAAGATTAGCGACAAGACAAGGATGCCCACTATCACCACTTCTGCTTAACATAGTACTGGATGTACTTGCACTAGCAATTAGGCAAGAAAAAGACATTAAAGGCATCCAGATAGGAAAGGAAGAAATCAAACTCTCACTATTCGGAGATGATATGATACTATACCTCGAGAATCCTAAATCCTCTACCAAGAAACTCCTAGAAACAATAGACTTGAACTGTAAAGTCGCAGACTATAAAATCAATGCCCAAAACTCCACGGCCTTTCTATATGCAAATAATGACAGAGAGGAAAGTGAAATGAAAAAAATAATCCCGTTTACAATCATGCCCCAGAAAATCAAATACCTCGAAATCAGCCTCTTTAGAGATAATGAACCTCTACAATGAAAACTACAAAATGCTACTCCATGAAATAAAAGAGGACACAAGGAAATGAAAACCTATCCCCTACTCATGGATAGGAAGAATTAACATTGTCAAAATGGCAATACTTCCTAAAGCATTGTAGAGATTCAACGCAATCCCCATAAGGATACCCATGAAGTTCTTCAAAGAAATAGATCAAGCACTCCTGAAATTCATATGGAACAACAAACTCTCATGGATAGCTAAAGCAATTCTTGGGAAAAAGACGTGGGGAGGCATTACCCTCCCCAATCTCAAACTCTACTACAAAGCAGTAATAACTAAAACAGCATGGTACTGGAACAAAGCCAGGGCAGCAGACCAATGGAAAGGGTGAAATATCTGTACACAAAACGCCAAATGTATGAACATCTAATCTTTGATTAGGGAGCAATAAATGTGAAGTGGAACAAGAAAAGCCTTTTCAACAAATGGTGCTGGCATAACTGGACAACCACATACAAAAAATTGGGCTTAGGCCTCGACATAACACCATGCACAAAAGTCAGATCAAATAAATTAAAGATCTCAACATCAGGCCTAAATCCATAAGGTACACTGAAGACAAGGTCGATCAAACCCTCCACGATATTGAAGATACTTAACGGTATCTTCAAAGATGACACTACAGTGTTGGTGCAAATATGGCGAGAAAGGGACCCTCCTTCACCGCTGGTGAGAATGCCGACTGGTTCAGCCCTTGTGGAAAACAGATATAAACAAATGGGACTATCTTAAATTAAGAAGTGTCTGCACCTCAAAAGTGACCAGAATACAAAGACAATCTACAGAATGGGAAAGGATATTTACCCAATACCCATCTGACAAGGGATTTATATCAAGGATATACAAAGCACTGGTTGAACTCTACAAGAATAGAACATCTAACTCCATCAAAAAATGGGGTGATGAAATGAACAGAACATTTCCCAAAGAAGAAATCCGAATGGCAAAAAGGCACATGAGAAAATGCTCTACAGCACTAATCATCAGGAGATGCAGATCAAAACAACAATGAGATATCATCTCACAACACAGAGAATGGCCCACATCCAAATGAACAAAAGCAACCAGTGTTGGCGCGGATGTGGCGAGAAAGGGACCCTCCTTCACTGCTGGTGGGAATGCCGACTGGTTCAGCCCTTTTGGAAAACAGTATGGACGATTCTCAAAAAAGTAGAAATTGAGCTCCCATTTGACCCAGAAATACCACTTTTGGGAATATATCCCAGAGAGGCAAAAAAGTACAGTCGAAAAGACATCTGCACTTCTATGTTCACTGCTGCACTGTTCAAAATAGCCAATCTCTGTAAAAAACCTGAGTGCCCGAAAACAGATGATTGGTTAAAGAAACTTCGGTACATCCACACAGTGGAGTACTATGCAGCTGTTAGAAAAGATGAAGTCATGAAACTTACATACAAGTGTTATTACATGGAAAGTATCATGCTAAGTGAAATGAGTCAGAAAGAGAGGGGCAGACATAGAAAGATTTTATTCATCTGGGGTATATAAAGTAACAAAATGGAGACTAACACCCAAGAATAGCCGAGATACACACCAGGAGTTTCACTCCATGGCTTGGAGGCCAGCTGCATATGCTGGGAGGAAAGGTAGCTCAGAAAGAGAAGGTAGCATCAAATAAAGGGTTTGGGGAAAATCCTCCCAGGATGAGAGATGCGTGCTGAATGTAGACTATGAACTGAACATAATTGAAACTCAATGTCTCTTTTACAAACCACAGCACACAAAAGGAGAGAGAAAACAAAAGGGAATGCCCTGCCACAAGAGTGGGGTGGAATGGGGGGAAGGGGAGTGGGTGGAAAACAGGGAGCATTGGAGGTGGAGAATGGACACTGGTGGAGGATGGGTACTCGATCATTGTATAACTGAAACCCAAACACAAAAATTTGTACATCTACAACTGTACCTCATGGTGTTTCATTAATAAAAATTTAGAAAAAGAAAGAGCATGGTACTGGAACAAAGGCAGAGCTGCAGACCAATGGAACAGGGTTGAATATATGGCATCTCCCCCCAAACATATGATCATCTAATCTTTGATAAGGGAGCAAGAAATGTGAAGTGGAGCAAGGAAAGCCTCTTTAACAAATTGTGCTGGCAAAAATAGACAGCTATACGCAAAAAATGGTCTCAGATCTTTACTCAACACCATGTACAAAAGTAAGATCAAAATGGATTAAAGACTTCAACATCAGACTGGAATCCATAAGGTACATTGAAGACAAGGTTGGCAAAACCCTCCACAACATTGAAGCGAACTGTATCTTCAAATATGACACGCTGGAGGTATGGTGCCACCAGCAGGTCAATCTGTATCTGTGAGGTGAGTGCTTCAGCAGCCTGATGGCACCTTCAGACTTACAGATACACCAAAATTGCTATTGTGCCTTTGACCAGACCCCAAAAACTTGGGGAGAAGTTTACCAAGAAAGTAAACGGTCAAAAGTTAGGTATGTGGGAGACACACCCACAAACCACCTCCGGCTTACTGGCCATAATC